ATTTAGACAGCCAAATCACAACAGCTGCCTATAGGCACCTTATATTGTAAGAAAGATCCTACAATAATACATACAGAGAAAAACTCAACAATCATATGACCCCCTATGAGCAAACACTTTGGTGACAGCGGGAAGGAAAAACTCCCTTTTAACAGGAAGAAACCTCCAGCAGAACCATGCTCAGGGAGGGGTGGGGCCATCTGCTGCGACTGGTTGAGGTGAGAGAAGGAAGATGGGATAAAAGACAGATTTGGTGTATTTTGTGGGTAATCAGCCCTAAAATGCAAAAACTCATTGGGAGTGACCAACACAAGTAGAGCAAAAAAGGCAAGCCTGAGATGGTCTGGGTATGTGCAGAGGAGGGATAGATGTAGAAGGCTGAGCTGCAAATAAGGAGGAAATCCAGGAGACCTCAAGAGAAGATTCGTGGATGTAGTGAAGGAAGCCCTACAAAACATGCAGAACTGAGCACAAACTATGTCCATGTTGTTTCATTTATTTATTTTTTAGAAACATTTTTTTAAAGTATCTGGGAATTTTTTTTAATTAGGAACCCAAGTGTACCTGATTGGATTTGTCATTGCAGTATATTTGGTTCCACTGTATATCCATGAGGAATTGTCATGTCTAAAGTCATTCTTAAATTGTCATTTTTAAAGAATCTATTTGACATGATCACAAGGGCTTGATGACCAGAAAAAGTGTAATTAGCTTGAGAAAAGAAGGCAACAAGACTTCTTCACAGTTGTGAAGAATTCCAGGTACTAAACACTTAGTGGGGCATTATGCCCCTGAGGGTCGTTGACACACTATTGATCACGTCATCTCAAGTCAAGGTGAGAGTCATTGTCACCTGGGATTAAATGGCCTGCATTTGTATAGCGCTTTACTCAGTCCCTGAGGACCCCAAAGCGCTTTACACTGCATTCAGTAATACACACATTCACACACTATTAAGGATGAAACCAGTGTGTGAGGCCTTGCCCCACCCTATCATGAGCTATTAAGATCACTTGAGGCAATGTGTGAGGGGGTTGAAGCACCTGGGACTGTATTGTAGGTGGCTGATAGCTGGAGTCATTAGCCACCACACCTGTTCAATGATGGTTGTTCACAACAGACATGGCCATAAAATGACCTGGATGACTGAGAACCTGCATACACATAATCAGCAATGATGTACACACACACACACACACACACACACACAGTTTTCTTACAAATCACAGATAATAGAAAACTTTTATTTAGAGCTAAATTACACACATATAAACGCACAAAGAAAAGCATAAACCTGTTTGAAAAAAGTAGCCCTGATCCTGCTGCATTTTCTTGTAGTCCCTGTGTGCCAGCGCTGCTCTGTGCAGGTAACCAAATACCTTACAAATAAAAACATGTGTTTTTGTAATCCAGTCTCTGTTTTCGAACTTCAGCTTTCACTGCAGCCAGACTTAACAATATGATCCTCCATATGTTGGTGAGGTTAAACAGATCAGGTTGGCTTCACTCCTGCTGATCTGCCAGATCATTCTGTTCAAAGTACCTGCAGTAAAAACAAAAGGAAGTAAGTATAGCTGCATCCTCTGTACACATCCAGACAGCAATATCATGGTATCATCACCCTGAACAATTTAGACACTGGTGGTAAAAAAAACAAACAAACCAAAAAACATTTAGGGGTTTTTCTCTACACAGAGTTCCATATAAGAAAAATACAGAGAACCTTACCTGGCAACAAGACAGATGAGCAGGTTGAGGGCGGGTAGTTTATCATCTTCCTGGCTGTCCTGTGAAGTCATGCAAGCAGGGAAAAGACTCAGAGTAAATAAAATCAAATATCATCAAATTTCAACAAAAAACGAGAAAAACATGGCCTGCTGTGGCCGTTTCAAGCATGGAGTGATAGCACATAGAGATAGTGCTTTACAGGAGATGGTAGGATTGTGGCCTACCAGCGTGCTGCGGAGCTGGGCGCATCTCCGTGCAAGCTGTCTGATGGATGAGTGAGCTTCGGGCAACAGAGGCTTTTCCAAGCAGGCCAATAAAGCATACAACCAGCGCCCCTGGAACAAGAAGATAGACTGCAAACTCAAGTATTTCACAATAACTGCAGCCAATAAACCATCACCTTCTATATCTGAAACATAAGACAGAAGCTGAAGGAATGTTTGGTTTCATGATATCTGTGCGGAATGCATAGTCAGCTCATATCTATCTTGAATGCAACACAGGATGACTATAAATGCGTGTGGAGTTCGGAATCAGCATAAAAATGTGGTGCTAATACATCAAACTCACCAACTGTGGAACAAATTCTCGTTCCTCGAACCAGCCGATGAGGATTTCCAACACCATCAGCACTGTAGACTGTAGACAGGTGGGAAAACGCAAACACACATATCTTCTAATCAGGCTTTGACTGGTTTAGAACATCTTGAATGTCTATAGAGGGATCGTTTACCTGATTTAGCCTGCTGATGATGCTTAGGAAGGGAGGGAACCCCATCTGAACAGACAGAGAAATGCTGAGGTAAATAGAGCAGTACACATTTTGGATCTGAAAAGTAACGCCGATGCTGGAGTGCTTTCACTCTAAATAAAAACACTTCCGTTTACATAGAAATCTGTGGGAAAATGGCCCACAACTCCCTGATGACTCAGTCACTAGTTTCAGCTCACACTGAATACAACATGAAGTGATTTTTTTTTAATTATTGGCATTATTAGGAAGATTTTCAATCACAGGTTGTTACTTGTAAGTGTGTGGTTTCAGGTCCAGTTTCAGTGCTCAGTTGGAGGCTTTGTGACAAAACCTCATTAACCAATAGGTGATAGATGTGACCGACAGCTTCTTTACTGTCAAAAAATCTTACAGATTGTATTCATGATGACACAAAACATTGAGATATAGCCATTACATATATAACCTTGCTATAGTCCAGTGCTGGCTCTGGTTCTGCATCTGTGTGGGAGGATGAAGTGCCCAGATAGACCTTCTCTCCTAAACAAAACCTCTTCCAACCCTCCTCATCCGTTAGCTTCGGCTGTAACATACAAATACGAGCATACATAAAATTTTAACATGAATTCTGTTTTTAAGTTTGCCTCTTGGAGAAAGACAAAGTATTTATTTGGTTATTAGAGGAAAGCATTGCATGCTGAAGCATTAAAATTTACACATTACCACATTACCATCAGCACGTTGTCATCTAGAGTTTGGCTGGTCCAGTGTTTCCTGCGCCTTGTGATACTCTAAAGGAAAAAAAATGTTGTAAATGTAAACAAAAGTTCATAAATTGTCAAATATCCATTTGTACAAATTTGTGCGGATTTAGACCTACAAAAAGTTTTAGTGAATTCTGTTAGGCTTCGCTATTCTATAATATCATAACAGCAAAAAGGCTCTTACCTGTCTGACTTCAGAGAAATTGCTGACTTGTTGTTGTTGCCATCTTAGACTTGGGGAGAAACCCACTGGAGCAGCATGACACCCTGCCACCTAAAAACCAGAAAACAACCCCACAAAAAATGTAACTGAGAAATAATCAGAACAGATGAAGCATTATTGAAATGTATTATGTTTTATTTTGTATATCTTCTTTTCTTTGCCAAATGAACTGCTGTATACTGTTTACATGATCAACGTAAAAATCGAACACAGCACAACATTTTTCAGAGCCTATCATTCATTTCTAACTGTGCAGTGAAAACTATGAAAAGATATTAAGAAAGATTCGTACAGATGTGCTCAGAAGTTTCCATCCACTCATCGTGGGTATGAATGTTTTGACCCTTTGTGGATTACAGAAAATCAAAAGTAAATTAAAACTTGTGCACCCAATTCTTGTTTTTCAAGGTTATTGAAGTGAATGCTTTAAAATCATTCCATCCTGAAAAAAAATGAAAAATTCAAAGAAATCATTTAAAAGCCCAACATTATGAGGACATTCACACCCATGATGAGTGGGACTGACTGCTCACATCAAGGTAAAAATACTTGAAATGCTTTGATTTGCAGACACCACAGAGTAACAAAGCTAATGAACCCTGTCACTATCAGGGTCACGGCTTTGTCATTTCCTTTAATTTGTCATACATCTGCAGCATCAACCAGTCTCAATACATTTGCCTCTCAGTTTACTCACAGATGCATTCACTGTTTGCTTCTTCCTTAGTTTTTTGGGGTCAATCTGAGCGACCACCACCTCTGGGCACAATGAAGTCTCCAGCCTGTCCAAAAGGAAAAAAGTTCATTGAAGCAGCCCGACCACCTCAACTAATACATTAACACACCAAAGAGAAAACAGGCAAAGAGAATCTAGGAGTTAATTAGACGCGAGCATTAATAAGAGGTGTGTTCTTCAGGTTGCGATGCACTTACTGGACCTGTCGGAGGTACTCCTGGGGGTTTCTCGGCGGTCCGCTCAGGTCCAGGTCGCCCACGGTACCGGATCCACACTCCACGGGCAGCAGTCTCGGCATTAACTCCTCCACGTCTGACTTCATTGTGACTGAATGTGTAAGCTCGGCTAGCTTTTAACTAAATGAAGCAGTCAAGCTCAATTAAAAATACGGACTCGCAACGGACCAAAACACTAAACTTTTACCAAGAGTAAACACAACCAGACTAGACCGCCATCTCTCTCGCAAAACAAACGCATAGTGATGACGTCGTCTTTGTGCGCGCGTTTGCCTTGTTGCCACAGCAACAGACCAGCTGTCAGTCCTGGAGAAAGGTCGAAAATAATGGAGTGGGTCTGTTTTAAATTGCCATGGCGTTTACCCGGAACCCCGTTTATGTGTGCACGTATTAAAATCTCAATGAAATATCAATTAAAGCAATTTTCCATTAATATCAAGTCTTCTAATGAAATAGAAACCTTTGACCAGCGAACTGATAATATTTGGTATTGCAAGCAGGCCTGAGATGTTAATGATTATCCCCATGCTGGCCTTATATCTTATCTCAGCTGTTTCATTTAGCATTGAGTCTTCAAAAGGCAGCAGCTCAGAGGCAATGTTCACTTGCCAGCACAACGGGAGTTATTTCCACCCCACTATGGACATTTACTACTTATAGCCTCCAGTTAAAAGTCAGATAATCATGGCTATTTTTCAGGTCTCTAGGTTCTTGTGGTCACTGGGTGCAGTTTTAGTGATTTTACCCCACTTAAATATCGGATTATTGTCTGACTACAAGATCTGCGGAGACTCTGAGTGTCAAAGTAAGTCCAAAATCTACTGATAGCTCCTTAAATTAATGACGATAATGATGGTCACCTCACAACTGTGTTCTATTGCTGTGGTGTGTGTAGGCCTCCTAAGCAGAGTGCAGGCTATAAGGGACCACCGTGGTAAGGACTGTCGTTTCCTGAGCTTCAGGCAAGGAGACACAATCTTTGTTTACCACAAATTGACTGGAAAGAGGAATGACCTGTGGGCAGGCAGTGTATGTGTCATATTTCGATCTTTTTTTCCCTTTCTGTACTTCCCTAAATCTTCATTCATGTCAGGTTCTCACTTAGAGACAGGCAGAAGGAAAACCTAAGCCTCTGACCCCTGCACTGTAGTACTGTGAGGTTTGGGGCAGTGTGCTGCCAGGGTGTTTCCCTATGAAAGGGCAACCTCAAATTAATCAGTACAAACTTGTGTGATGACCTTTATCCTTTGATTGGTGGTATTGGTCTTTTCCAGAATAACAGTGCCCCCATTCTCTGTGCAAAGGAAGAATGAATTATTTGATTATTATAAAAGATTATGTTTGCAGTCATCACCAATGCCTAAACAACAAATGACAGAGAATATTTTTAAAGAATGATCTATTATGACAAATGTTTAGATTTCTGGGTTTCTTCAAGGTAGAAAGAAGAAAAATGCTGACAGCTCCTTTGTTTCCTTTTTTATTTCAGATTGACAAAGAGTTTGGATATTTTCCAAAGGATGCAGTGCAAGAAGAAGAGGTTCATACTACTGTGGAGAAAGTAGTGGAAACACAGGTAATTTCATCATTCATATGTAAACAAACTTTAAGTATTAAAAAGTATTGTCAGTATTATTATTATTTCAAATTTTTCTTCCTAGTTTCCTTTCTTAAGAATTAAATTTTTGCCCTTTTTCTGCAGAAATCTGATTTCTTCTGCATGAATGAGTTTGGCTCCACTTATCTGGATATGGATGATGATGATGATTATATTGATCAGAAAATCCAAATCCCGGAGCCAGAAACCACACAAAAAATTACCCAAAGCACTGATGACACGAACACTGAAAGCCACTTAACAACCTCAGACTCCCCAGTTTCTGCACAGGAAGAAGAAGAACAAGAAGAAGAGGACCAGAATAAAAATGTTGGTGGTTCCGGAGCTGGGTTTCGAGAGGAGACACATGAGATTCCTGTGGTTCCTAATCAACAAGGTGGGTCTCCCTCCTCTTCCTGGCTTGGTTCTTCAGTGACAGGATGGTTAGGTCTGGGTAAAGAGGACCAACCGGACAGTGTGGCTGAAGGGGAGATAGAAGATAAGAGGGAAGACACTCAGTCTGAAACGCTCACATCCTCTGTGACAGGATGGCTAGGCTTCGGAGGAAATGGAAAACCTGACAATGGCAAAGAAAGTGTGAAAGTTAAAGAAGAAACTGCTGAATCGTTAACTTCAACCATGACTGGGTGGCTCAGCTTTGGAGGTGGAAGCAAAAGTGAGACAGAAGAGGAACAAGAAGCAGATGAAGACAAAGAACCCACAGAGAAATTCAGGAGCAGGAGGTTGTCCTTGGACCTTGAAGGCAGCCAGTTGCAGGAAGAGGAGAAGAAAGAGATGGAGACTTTAGGTTGGCTGGGGAATGGGCTGTCAAGCACACTGGGGTTTGGTTTGACCAGTCAGGAGTCAGGACAAGAGAAGGAGGAGAAGGTGCAGGCTAATTCTTGGTTAAACATGGAGATTGAAGGTATTCTAGGTTTCAGGAAAGATAAAGTTGGAGATAATGAAAACAAAGAAAGTGAATCTAAGGAGGCAGAAATAATCACAACTTTAGAGCAACCAACAGGATCACAGAATGTGGATCACAGTGAATCAGAGGAGGAAATTATTAAGACAAGCAATAATTCAAAGGAGGTGGAAGAACTGTCAGAAGACCAAAATACCCCGTCTACAGAACCACTTAATGGTCAGAGTGTTGATAGCAACACAGATATTTCAGACAGTGGGATAAACAGCGATTTCGATGAAGAGGCTGAACCCACAGTTGATAACAAAGATATTTCTCCTGAAAGGAAGTTTGAAGAAGAATCTCAGGCTTTAGTAGAATCACCCCCCAGTAAAGATGACGATGACAATATAGAAAAAAGCAAAATAAATGAGGAGAGATCTGAAGAAAGGGAAGACGCTGTGATTCACAAACCAATTGGAAATGAACATATGGATAATAGCAGGGAGTCAGGAGAGGAAGAAAGAAAAACTCCAAGTGCTATCAGTCAGGATTCAACACCACCATCTGAAACACCATCTGAAAGCATTTTGGGCCCTGATCACGTTTCAGTGGATTTAAAGTCAACGTCTATGCTGGTCAAGGAAGATGAAAAAGACCAGATGGAGAACAAGAAATCAGAAAGTGTGGAGGAGGAAGGGGCAGAAATCACAAATCAAACTGATAACACAGAAGAACCCACAGAAATGTCTCTTAAAATCACCAGGGGTGACGATAATAAAGGAGAAGTCAGTAATGAGGATACAGATTTACCTGAAACTCAGACTGAGGAGCTGAACGGTGATGTAGAAGACAGTAGCACAGAGAGCCAGCCTCACTTACCGTCATCTATGGAGAAAAACGATCCAGTTCCAGCTGAGAATGAAAGTTTTACTCCTTGTAGTGCTGAAACAAATAATGACAATTCAGATACAGTAGCTCTTTTTGATAATAACACAGAAGCAGAGACAGTTCATGGGGAGTTAGAGCAGGAGGGAGAAACTCGGAGCTCACAGGAATTTGATTCACAGCATAACCCTGGTAGAAGCACTCAAACTATCCCAAAGGATAGAGGAACAAGTGCACCAACCACAGATCAGACCTCCGTGTCTCCAGTGATGGAGCATGTTAACAATGAAAGCGACAGTGATGCAGGCAAACTAAAGGAAATTGTTGAAGACAACATAAATGAGTCCCAGCAGGTTAAAACAGAGATAGAAGCATCAGGCACTAAAGAAGATGATTTAAATGAAAATGACTTCAAGTCAGCGATCAGTTCTGAATTAGAGGCTGAAAAAGAGGAGGAGTCAAAGGATGGGGGGAATCAAGGGGTGATGAAGGTGGAGGATAACGAGGAATTGGAGGATTTAAAGGAGATAAAAGAGCAAAAGGGAGATGAGAAAGAGAGTAATGAGGCAGAAGTGGAGAGTATGCAGGGAGAGGTGGAAGACCTAAAGGAAGCTAACAAACAGTTGAATGCAGAGGAGGAAAAACACCCCAAGGTGGAGGAGTTAGTGGAAGAAGAGGAACTGGTGGGTCTAGAGGGAAAAGAGAAGAAAGAAGGTGAAGGGAAAAAGGTGAAAGAGCAGAAGGAAGATGAGGAAGAAAAGGAGTCTAATGAGGCAGAAGTGGAGAGTATGCAGGGGGAGATGGGAGAGCTAAAGGAGGATAGAAAACAGCTGCAGAAAGAAGAGTTACCAGAGAAGGAAAAAGAGGCCAAGGTGGAGATGTTACAGAGGGAAGAAGAACTGGAGGGTGTACAGGAAAAAGAGAAGAAAGATGAAGAAGGAAAAACAGTGCAGTCTTCTTATTATGAGGCAAAGATCCCGAGCACCACGAACACACAGAATGGCTCAGGATCATCTTTCACTGAAATAGTCGCACAGGTTGAAAGCCACCAAGATGTGGAAGGAAGAAATGGGGAGGATGGAGAGAAAAAACAAGCCAAGGCAGAGGAGCTAAAGTTTGAAGAGACTGACCGAGCAGAGGTTGAAGAAGTGCATCAAGAGGAGAATGAGGTGGATGACAGCTTTAAATGTTCAAATGAGCTTTGCCCTCAAGTGCATGAAGAAAAAGCTGGAAGTGGTTTAGAGGAAGGAGGTGAAGGAGCAATACAGACAGAGAAGCTAAAGGATCAAGCAAACACACCAGGAGAGAGGCAGATGATAGACTCGGATGAAGAAACAGCAAATAACACTTCAGAGGAGGCAGAAAGCACTCATGCATTAGGCCAGGGAGATAAAACGGAGTCTGGAGACACTGAAAGTAGCAGCAAAGCAACACAACAGTTAAACTCCGATCAACAGACGCACACAGAGAAGGCTGCTGTTGTAGTGGAGGATAAAGACACTGATATAAAAATGAGGGAAAATGATAGTAATGGTAGTGAATCCTGGCATGAGGGAGGAAGGGAGCCTTCAGCCCCACATAGTGACCCTGCTAAAAGTCAGTCTGTGACATCTGAGCAAACTGCCCCAGGTTTGACTGATGATGTGTCTCCACATCCACCCACTGATCAGAGTGGGGAGACAGAGACAGAGAGTAAAACCAGTGGAGCTTTTGGTCTTTTAAAAAACCCCTTTGGTGTTTTCAGCCAGAAATCTACCACCGAATCTGACGGGTCCGCCGAACCAGCCCAGAGCTTCAGTACTAGTCCAGGTGAGGCGTTGCACTCGCAAGACTCGTTAACTCCTGAACAAGAACCAGATTCCACCACTCACCACCTTGAAGTTGTGCACAAAGACTCTCCCACTATCACAGAGCAGCCACAGCTTCATCCTTCCTCTGCTGAGATGACAAGAACTCTCTCCAAACATTACAAAAACCTGCTCACTCACATGGGTGCAGATGAGACAGCTATTTCGCTAGAGCTTTTTGGGCGACACAAGCTTCAGTTTTTGGATTACATTTTGTCCAATTCAGACACCATGTTGTACAAACCTGATGAGGAGGATGAATCTATATTGTCAGATGTAGAGAGACTTCTGTATCATCACAAGGAGACGCTGATTGCTCCTAGCGTGACACTCACTGATGCACTGCAGGAGGACAAAGAAAAGACCCGAATGCTTATGGCGCTTCAAAAACTGGAAACACTGTTGGGAAGAGTGAGACAGACTTTCAACACAAGACAGACCAACGACCGTAATCATCAAGGTAGTTTTTCTCAACATTGCCTCCTACTGGCTTCCTCATGGCCAGCACTAATGAGATTTAATTCAGTCTTTCAAATTCAGGCATGGTTTTGAATTGCATCTGTACATGTGTTTCCCTGTCAAATGCAGCCGAGGCCAGCTGTGTTGGCGTCTCTTGTTCAAATCATAGAAAAAATAAGAAAGCGAACACTGAGGAAGAGTCGAAGACGACACAAGATCCATCCATCCAGAGAGATGACTGGATGATAATGAAAGAAGGCAATAACCAAGTGGGTGGTGGTGTAGGAAAAGATGAGATAAGAGGAAAAAAACAGGGCAGAAGTGTTGAAGAAGCATCCCTTCCTCATGTTCAGCCAGGATCACCAGAGATGCTGAAAGGTATGGATAACCCAGGTATCCATTAATCAAGAAGAGTTTAAAATATTATTAAAAATCTTAAGCAAAAGCTACTCGACCTACCTCGTCATCGTCCTCACTTCACATAACCCCAAAAACCGGATGGCCAAAACAATTTTTTTTTTCATTTTTTACAGTAATGTGTCACATTAAAAGATAAATATTTTTTGAGCATCATAAAAGAGATGTATGTTAAACAGCAGTATGTGTGTTACTTGAACTGCAGGAGTTATGAAGCAAATTCTGGACTTCGTTTATCAGATGGCTGAAGACTCCTACGCCCACACTTGTGCAGTGAGGGAGCTCCTCATATGGCTTACTGTGCAGGTACGCTGTGCCAGTTTCTGAGGATTTATAATCTGCAGAAACAGAAACCAATTTTTTGTCATTTGATTTCCAAATATACCTTTTTGCTTTAATCTACAGAGATTAGTGTTGTGTATGTTGAGAGGGATTCTTCAGTTCATGCCAGAGATTAATCCACAATGGCGATGAAGGGGGGCTGAGGTCAAAGCAGGGTGCAGGGTGCATGCTGCCTAGCCAGCATTTTTTTTTCTGATCTAGTTTTAACATACTTTGTCCAATAGCTTTTGATTTGTGGCTAATTGTGGCCTTGATCATGTTGTACAGGGAAAAGCAAAATGTATCATAGCATGGGCTGCTATGATACATTCTATGAAGGTGAGATCTTATCTTCATTCTATGAATGTTTTGTGAGTTACAAGTCCTAAAACTTTACAGCCACTCAAAGTGTCACAATCTAATTCAAAATCTTGTTTTGTTTAGTATGCTGTTTTCTTGTAATGAAATTTAAGAGCTTAAATATAATAGGTTTATCAGTTTCTATAGCAAAAAACATTAGTGCTTTGCACATTTCATGTGTTTTCTGATCATTCGCTGGGGCAACTTTCAAGCCTCAAAATAGGTTATAGCATAACCTACATTTTGATACCAGGATCATCTTCTAGCCATGATTCCTGATATGTCAAAATAATTCTCTAATATAGTCATTTCACTTGACCCGCCTCTGTGTTTGCATGCCTGTATTAAAGGTGTTAAAGTTATAGTACAAAAAAAAATATATGGGAGGCACTAAAAATCACCCTCTGCTCTGTCAGTGTGGCATTTTGTGGTGCCTGGTTCTTTAAGATATTACTCTGGTGACATGCTGAGCTGACTCTCCCTCTGGCATTTAGCTTTGCTTACGTCTCAGCCTGCCAAGCTGGCTAGGTTCCTTAAACATTACTCACATTTGGGTCTGTGACACTCTGGACTCACACACCTGTGAAGACAAACTGTCTCTCATGTTTTGAAAGGTGAAAGTGGTTTCAGATGGAGGTCAGACTGGTGAGTATAAGAAATACTGGATGGCTGTCAGACTGTTTTAATTCACATGAAAAAAAAAATATAGTAATTGTTTGAGAAATGTCATATATCTCGTATGAACAGCTTTCCTAGTTATTTCATTAATTCAGTAAAATAGAGCATTTTTATTTTGTTCTGTTAATGCTTTACCACTCCATACTTTCCTACGTGGGTCTTAATTGTTTCTCTTTCTTTTTCATATGGGAAGTCTTTACCTTCACCTGTCTCCTAATTTGTCATTGGCCTAAGGCCGAGCACGCGACACGTTGACAAATACCCGTTCGATGCAAATGTGTTACTTTTTCTTTGAATGAAAATTATCAAAATAATGATAATACAGGTGTCATTTTGGTAACACCTGTTTCTCCTGGTGTCACTTTGAAAGCGCTCCGGTATGCCAGTGTGGCATCTTACAATTGGTGACGTTGCGACTGAACCATTTTCACCAGCGGGGGTGTGAAATCATCCGGGTGAACTTGTGAGGACACGAAACAGCGTGCACGTGATGCATTATACTATACATGCTGTGTTTATATTATTTTATATTTTCAGATTTTATTTGATGTTTGGAGTGTTTACAATGGTTGTACAGCTGTACAGTAGTTTTCGTACTACTCCCTACGACGTCCAGCAGGACGTGGTATAGTCCTAAGCGTCAGTGTTGTGGATAGGATGTGAAACCGCCGCTGACCCGCTTCACAGCTCTAGTTTCTTAACGGTGTAAATATAAAAAATTTTAAGTTTAAATATACGTCAGATGAAATAATTTGGACATGGCAGAGAATCCGGCGAGTGACCAGTCGGGCATCAAAGCGGCCGACTTCCAGGAGACGGCAGAGGCTTACTACAGTATCGCCGTGGAGAAAGTGAAGGATGTACGTTATGTGTCAGGTTTCGTTAGCAATTCCCAATTAGCCGAGATAATGTAACGGGCTTCCATGTAACAGTCATGTTTTTGTATTTTTCGGTACTAGCTACAGCTCTTGGTGTTGTCCATCTCATTCCGAAGTAAGAGTATGACCTGTTGTCAGGATTATTCTTCGTGTTTTCAAAGATGTTTAATTGCTCAAACAGTTAGCTGGTAATAGTTAGCTGGCTAGTTGTCAGTAACAGCGCTGTCTTGTCAGGTGTTAGGATTTAAGTTAAAAATGACAGATATTTTTCCACATTTGTCTGTAGTAGAATGATATAACTATTAACACTGCGCCCTGTTTAATGTGGTCAAAAACTGGGTAACTGTACATAAACCCATCTTCTAAAGACCAGCTGTTTGGTAGTATTTTGTTTAGCAGTTTGACAGATTGCTTTCGGGAAGCCCAAATCCTGGTCCTAAAAACAAAGAACCTTATTAGAAAATATTGACCTTTCTCTGTCAGTCCGGTGCATCATAAATGTTTAATATATTTGTATATTCAAATTTATTGGATATGCATCAGTGAATGTACCGTCAGATGATAAACAAATGCATGGTCACACTTTAACACCATTGCATCTATACAAAAACATATATCTTTGTATATATGCAGTATTTGCCACTCAGATTTTTCTCTGGAGTGCTGTCCTGGTATATTTGTGATTTATTTTAATTTTTTCATCAGTCTGGGGCCTTGTTGTGATCAGTTTACCATTGGTGAATCTTAATGCTCTTATTCTCAAAATTTAGTCACTGCTCATCATTTATCACTGGACCTTCCTTCCTGTGGTACCCTGTCAGTGGGCTGGTTTCGTCATTGTTGTGGGACTTTCACCTTTGTTTGACACACTCATACGCCACCATCTTGAAATGCAGCTGGTAATAGTACTACTAATTTTGCGCCGCTGAGAGCTGGAGAGGTTAATCTAACCAGGAGTTTGAGTCTGTGCCCTCCATCCCCGCTTTCCTTTTAGTCTCCTTTTAGTTCTTCTCTTCAGGATCTGGAGAGGAGGTGTGGCATATTTCTAATCAGCAACATTAACAACACCTCAGCCCATTGTGCCGGTGCTCTACAAAAGCCATTAGAGCTCAGTTGCTGGTGTGGCTCTTCTTGCTGAGATGCCTCTTCTTGGTTTGATTCCTTCCTCCAAAAAACACTGCACACACAATTTCTTTACTCTTACACTCACTTGACCGTGCTACTTATTAACAAACATGGTTAGTTTAAGTTCTTTATTTGCTTCTTTAATCAAAAAAACTGTCTTTTAAATGGCATCTCTTTTTGTCAAGGTGTGTGACCACGGAAAGTTCTACTGAGAGAAAGTTGATACTTGCTGCATTATTATTTGGCACATAGTATATAGTACAATGTATTAATATATTTAAGAAGGCACGGGTCTGTCTCCACACTGGTTTGGGCAGATGGGCTGCATTTTGCCCATGTTCAAGAGGCAGTCATATTTCCTCAATGACAGAAAAGCTAATGTCCTTGAGCATCAGTAGAACATCAGGTTTTTATTCCCGGACTCACATATCCTATTTAAAAACACACACAGGTTCTAACAGGAACTGGTCATTATTTTCTCTTTTCTCAGGTGGTGTCGTCTCTGCCCGATGACTTGAGACCTGGGCCAGACCTGTATGGTGTACCATGGGAACCTATCATTGTCTCTGGCCTGTTGGGCCTGATGACACTTCTGTTGTTCACCTGTAGATGTTACAGCTCTGTGAGTGCACAGCCATGCATATTCACTTCAATATCATAAATATTTTTTGCCACCTAAGATGGTTTGATAAGTATGGCTTCTATTTGAACTGTCGGACCTGTCACTAAGCACAGTTCTTTGTTTTGTTTTGTTTTTCCTTTCATTTCTTTTATTTCCTCACAGATAAAAAGCAGAATTTATCGACGTAAGTTCTCACTTCCTCTTCCTGCGTGTCATTTTATGGACACGTTTAACATTATCACTGACAGTTTTTCTTCTCTTTGACCTGTGAATGTTAACAAATAAACCACTTTTTTTTTTTTTTTTTTAAATGACACAAAATAAATCTGAAATTTTTTTGGCTGTTTTTCAGGTAGAGAGCAGGGGATGGCAGAACAGGTTGCACAGCTACTGGATGAGAAATCCAAAGTCCTTGAGAGTCTGAGTCAGTGTCAACAAGAGGTTAGTAGTTATGCCAGTTCTGTCTAGACACAGATCTGGTCTCACACAATAATTTGAGGTCAGAGATTTTTTTGTTATATATATATATATCCTTCTATAGATTTCAGATAATTTGGATTACAAGCTTTCTAAGGTGATATCTACAAAGCAGAGAGGTTTACTTACTGAGCATTTGTAGGTGATCAGAAATCTAATGAAATTCTTGATGATATCATGCATGATGTACTGAGAAATTTATTCATCTACAGTATGACAACCTTGAGAGTTCACAGAGGGACAGCGGTGTCTTGGCTCAGACTCAGAAGACAGAACAACTGGAGGTAAGGCAGAGAAAAGTATGGAAACCATTCTTGGTGTAAAGAAAACCTACTTGAATGCTCCTTAATGAATATGGCTCACACAGTGTTCATGTCTGGTACACTGCTACGCTCCCACGAGCCTCATCTGTGTGAACAGAGACACATGTCCTATTGTTTATTCAGTTGAACAAGCTTGTATTTTTTTTATTTGCTTTCAAAGTCCCTACAAAGAGAATTTTTTTTAACAGCCATATGTTCACACTTGTTGGAATAATTTTTGAGTGAGTGGTAATGTATAGTGAGGTTTACCATATTACAAAAAGAATAATAACAACATTATTATATTATTATTATTATTATTATTATTATTGATGTACACAATGAAGTACAGCCACTGCCATGTCATTTTTGACACAGACTTGCAGAACTAGTCAAAATGTAGAATATTTGCACTGCTTCACCTCAGATCTATAGTGACATTATTTGTCATGTCTTTACAACCCTTACTCATGTTACAGTGTCCCAGTTTTGCAGCTACTTGAAGTAGTTTTCTGATCTTGTTTTCTTAGGTCAAAGCCAGACAGTTGGAGCACTCCAAACAAGAGTTGGAGAGGGATCTGGAACAGCTAAAGGATCAACTGGACCAGCAAAGGGAGCACAGGACAGAACAAGAAAGGAGGGTAGGTGCACACACTAACAGAAGTACTGTGGAAGCCTAGTTGGCAATCCTGAGTGAGAAGCTGTAGAATTCATACTGAATGAAAGTTGTTTTGGTTTCTCTATCCAGATAGCAGTCCTCGAGGAGAGCATGAAATCCCTTGAAGATGAAACTAAAGACTTTCAGTCACAGGAAGAGCAGGTGCAGTATTCCAAAACTGTCACATTTGCACTTTCGCCTGTCTGTTCTCTTTCCTCTGTTGGTGCTTCTTTTCCACCTCTTCTCTGTTCCACTAGGTTTTATAATATTTCTGTCCTTCTCTAGGCGCAGACCACTTTGAAAGTGTACAGCATGAACAGTGACAGACTACAGAGGAACTTGGAAACAGCTGGAGAAGAGAATGTAGTGCTAAAGGAGAGCAATGCTCATGTACGATGGACACACACACACACACACACACACACACACACAAAAAAAAAACTTCGTATGGCAGTAAACTAAATAGTGTTTCCAAAATGGGTGCACAAGATTGTTGGCTTACCTTTTTTTTTTTTTTTTTTTTTTTTTCTTCTTCTCTCCTTCCCCCAACTCTTTTCTCCACAGTTGAGGCAGCAGGTGGAGGGATGGGCAGAGAGAGTGAGTGAATTGGAGGCAGAGATGAAAAGGTGTGAGGTTGCTTACAGCGGGATGATGCAGGATGTGGCCACCAAGGATGAACGTATAATGGTATGATTTATTCTAAGGTTAAGTTCTGTGAAGCAGCCCATAAAAATGATAAATTTTAAATTTGGCCAGTCTTCCTTTGAGGTCATCTTTTTGGAAATGCCTGAGTAGCTACCAGCTCAACTTTTATTTTTATGTTGTTCAGTCCATTTAGTCCTTTTCAGGTCTGCCTCTGTGTGAAAACAGACACCCTTTAACTCTCTTTATATTTCGGGAAGGTAGACAAAATTGCAAGTAGGGTGCTGAGTTTAGATTTTGTTTGTGTGGCCAAAAAATAAAGAACACTGGCACAAATCACAGTTCACAAAATTTCCACTGAACATTCTTAGGACAAAGGTAAATTGCCTCTATTGAGGTAATGGTGGATGATTAATCTGATTGTGATCTCAGTTTTAATTTAGGTTTCAGATTACTCCTTAGCATTTGTTTTTCTCTTTTTTTTGTCTGGTGTTATAAAATCAAGACTGTTTCTTTCGTTTACACTGTAGCACTTACAGACCTCCTTAAAAGTTCCACCTCACTTGCTGACTGTAAAAAGATTCTTCAGTTCATAAGATCTATGTAGAAGTATTATCAGTTATTACTTTTTTTTTCCCCCAGATTGCTCTGGGTGTCCAACTGTTTGCTTTCAGTAGTCGTGACTGGTCACCGTCAGCTTTGGCTTTGTATCGTTATCTCCACGGCTGGTTAACTGTTTCCCTAGGTGCCAAAGCCTGGTTCTATCTTTGCCCCCGTTTTCTGGTCAATGCTTGACTCACTATCAGATAAATGTGTGATTTTGTGAAATGAATGAGTAACTGTGCCAGTTGTGTTCAAGGGTTTTAATTTTGTCTTTTGGGGGGCAATAGTCAAGTTGCAGTGAGCATGCTCCTCGTTGTACTTCTAATCTGTCTTCAGGCTTGGAAACTATAGACTGTTTAACCAAAAAGTGCTGCGTTGTAATTGACGAGCCAACTCTCAGCACCAACAACAATTCTCTGCATAGAAGTCGGGTCAGTTTGAAACAGAAGCCGTTTGCTCTGCTCATTTTTCCCACGTCTTTCTTTCTGTTTGCTTTTCTTCACAAGAGAGCAAACAGAGAAAAAAAGAGGATCAGCGCACACAATGTTAGTGGCCATAATAGGACTTCCAGGGAGTGAACTGAAAACAGCAGCCATGCTACAAGCTGCCTGGATGTCTATGAAAACACGATCTTAAGGGCAAAAACAGACATTTTTAAATTTCTGATTTTATGTTTTGTTTTGTTTTTTGCTTTTAACTATATTAAATCAGGTCTCAACTACTGTCATGTCTCCAGAAAATGGCAGAATGACAGAAAATATATTAAAATGATTCAGTGAGAATATAATTAACTGTCAGAAAAAAATCTGTTTGCTTCTAGTCCTTAACAGATCGGCTGCTGAGGTTGAAAGGCTGGGATTCAGAGCTGGAGGAAGAGGAAGGAGGAGAAAAGGAGACAGCCAATGGTACGCCAGAAAAAGGAGAGAAGAATGGAAGAGGGGACATAACGGACACCCAGGCCCATCTGCAGAAAGTCCAGAAACTTGTTTATGCTGCTAAGGTAGATGGAAACAACCAAGAACATAGTGTTTAGCATTCAAGTTGATAATGTGCTGGCACGCAAGAATTATAATTATTTATTTATTTATTCATTTTTTAATGTAATCTGTGTAGAGTTTCCCCTTTAACATGTCTTTATTTTTGTATAGCTGAATGCAGACCTCAAATCCCTAGATGAGGATAAGGACAGAGTATTTGCCAAACTGAACGATGAAATCAAAGCAAAAGAAGACCTGCAATGTAAGTAAACTACAGAACATCTATGTCAATGTACTTATTAACCTTTTCCATATTAATGATATGTATGAACCATGCTAGAGTCTCGACATATCCCTGGTAGCGTGCATGTCATGTCTTTTGTTTTTGATTTTTTTGTCCCCCCCCCCTCAAGTAAGCATAGAAGATATGGAGAAAGAGAAACTAACTTTGCAGTCGGACGCCGAGAACTACTCGGATCAGGTAACTGACCTCACCTGTGTCTGACTGTATTTGTTCTATACATGGTCCATATCTGTTTTCCTTTGGATTAAACCTTTTACCTTGTGTTTAGGTCCAACGATTACAACAGAAACTCCAGATTATGACAGAAATGTACCAGGAGAATGAGCTCAAACTACACAGGTATATGCATATGCAGTAAACGGTTTTATATGAACAAATCTATCTGTAACAATCAGATGATGTTAAAACTGTATCATTAAATATTTGTAGACTTCTGACGGTGGAGGAGAAAGAGCGTGTGCAGAAAGAGGAGAAGTTAAACAAAGCAGACAAAAATATTGCGCTGGCGATGGAGGAACTTAACAACTACAGGTAGCTGAAACACAGTCTGTAGCAGCTCGAAAGCATTTGTTAGTTTTTCGTCCTTACAAACTGTCTCATTTCTGCTTTGCTTCAGGCAACGAGCTGAAGAAATGGAGGAAGAGCTGGAGAAAACCAAACAGTCTTACCAGACTCAGATATCAGCACATGAAAAGAAAGCTCATAATAACTGGGTTAGTAAAACTCGACAAAGATTTGTCAAGTTTCTTTCTGAATTGTTACACTTATGTTATAAAGTGAAAGAAACTGTGGTTATACAACTAATTGCCCCTGAAATTCTTGTCTTGTTATGTTTTTGGCATTTCCAGGTGGCAGCCCGAGCAGCAGAACGAGAACTGTCAGACTTTAGAAGAGACAACGCTCTCCTCAGACAGAAGTAAGCATGATGTCAGCATTTTGAGTGAAATACTGAGATGATTCCCTCATCTCCATGTTTCTGCAGAGATCTATGATCCAGTATAGTCCTTTTATTGGCTTTATGTTTGTGCCTTTTTTTTTTCTTTTTTTTTTAAATAAAAAGTTGTGAACACACATTATAAATGAGCAGTTCTTAAGACTGAAATGTACTGCTACTTTTGTCATGTCAGCTTTTAAATACATTTTCTTTTTAAATATATTTCTTAACAATTGTATTAACATCTCAGGACCAAAAGTGCTTGCCATGTTTTAACTTTAGGTGTGATTGTTTGCAGACTGACGGATACACAGTTTAAACTGGACGCCCTCGACAAAGACCCGTTTGCCTTGAACAGTCTAGCAAGACCAATGCCTTTCCGTGGTACGTACACACACGCACATATAAATCATTAAAACATGACATGAATCATCAAACCTGAAAAGTCAGTCAGTGGAAAAAAAGCGTACTTTTCAATAGAATCCTGCAATGAATTTTCTTCTAATCTGGGGCTTAATCCACGTCCGGGACAACTCACAAAAATGTCTCTGAGGACTTAAAGCTGCAAAGGGTATTTTCAAACTGTTTGGATGAAGAACCTTCTTGGAAGAGGAAGTGAATTGTCTTCAAAAACTTAAAGAAGTCCAGTAGTCACCTTTTAATGCTCTTAAGCCTCCCTGAGCCTGGTTCAGCTGGAGGTTTTCTTCTGTTAAAAAGGTGTTTTTCTTTCCTACTGTCACCAAGTGTTTGCTCAAAAGGGGTCTTTGATTATTGGGGTTTTCTCTGTAGTGTTGTCGGGTCCTTACCTTATAATATAAAGTGTATTCAGGCGACTGTTGTTGTGATTTGGCACTACATAAATAAAATGGAATTTTATTTATTTATTTATAAATGAGACAGTTTCGGAATGTGAATCCTAAGAAGTGGCCACCCTGCAAAAATCTCTTTGAAAGTACTATAATTAGAGTGACAGATTAAAATCTCTAGATGTAAATCACTGACTGAAGAAGGTGGTTGGAAAGTTCTAAAAAAGCTGCTTCTTGCCTAAATTGCGGTCGTAAGACTCTGCAGGGCTGCAGATTTTCTTCCATTTGCACTCACCAAACATTCCTGTATTTCCAGCTGAAAGGTCACCGTATGTTCCTTCTCCTCTGGGTCGACCTTCATCGGAAACCAGACCATTTCTCTCACCTCCTACGTTAATGGATGGACCACCTGCTCGACTGTCTCCTAGAGGTAAATGCATTTAAAGGTGCAGCTAGCTGCAGCAAACACATACATGAAGCATGGCCAGATCCTTAGAATGACACACAAACACTACAAATATAAATATACTTGTAATAATTTTATTCTTACATAATTGGGAGAGTACATTTTCTCATTCATACTCATAAATGGTGTAGAAACATGCAGCATGTTGGGGATGACCAGCTGACTATAGCATGACAAACTGCTGAAGCATTTTGTTGCATGGTCTGTGCATGCTAACAGCAATCTTGAATGCACAAAAGACAACAGAATATAATGTGATGAAATCTGGACTTACTGTCATCACCGTCTCTGGGCGTTTGTTCTGCTTGTTCTCTTTCTTCTTCTGTGCCCTTCTCTCTGTCTGTCACTCTTTTTTTTTTTCCATCTTCTTCCAACAATCCTTTCCTGCACAGTGTCTCGTGGTCCAGGGGAGCCCCCAGGAGGCCAGAGGGAGATGGAGCGCAGTGGAGGTCCTCATTCAGACAGCGGCTCAATCTCTCCTACCTGGGAGAGAGATCGCAGAGGACCCCCACCAGGACCTTTACCAGGACCACCTGGGCCTTTAGGACCTCCAGGTGTGTGTTCATATGTGAGAGAGAAAAAAACTGGAGAGAACCAGACTGTTACAAGTGCCCACACAGCCAACATCTCACAGATTATCAAGACAATGTTTAGCAAACAGAAACGAAGGGCCAAAGTTTCAAAAAATGAGGTCAGTGTAAGTATGAGTAATCCCTGTGAGACCTTAAAATAGCCACATGGAAGCCCCCTGTGCACCTTTTCAAACCTTTTTTTCAACCCCTTTTTTTCCCCCAGCATCTCCATTAGGTGATAGTAAACTAAGTTGTCACTGCATGGATGACATTCCCCTGCAATGGTTCCAGCACTTGCGTATGAAAAGAATGAATGAGTACATGAATACACAAATATGAATAGAAGTTAGTTGATATTCAACATAGTTGTCATGCATATTATTACTGTGTGCATGTGCATCTTGCATTTTAAATATAATATAAGTATAGTGTGTGTGTGTGTGTGGGCGGGGGCGGGGGGGCTAAAGCATGTTGATGTTGCATGTTCATTGTCTTGAAAGCATTTTGAGTTTTTTTTTTTTACTCTGGATGCTAAAATTGTCCCTGTGATGAAAGTATTTGTACAACGTATTACTACATTTCTATTTCCAGCTCTTATGTGGTAAACCTCAGACACTCTCTCCTCTGTTTTCTGAATGTCACCACAGATTTAAGCTTTGTGTAGCAAATATCTTCTTACTATCCATCGCTCTCTTCTTCAGGCTATATGTTTCCAGAACCAGGAGCTCCCATGTACAGAAGACCTCTACCTCCTCCAGGAGCTCTGGGCCTTTTGCCTCCTCCTGACTCTCTCCCTCCTGGCGTCCTTCCCCCCGGTGTCCTCCCTCCCGGCGCCCTCCCTCCTGGCGTCCTCCCTCCCGGTCCACTCCCTCCTCGTGCCCTTCCTCCTGGTCCACTCCCTCCTCTCCCTCCTGGCTCCCACCATCCTCGGAATGTTCCTCCAGGACCCTCTTACCCTGCAGACATGCCAGGTGAGTTTCTGCTCTCTCTCTTTTTTGACTCTAAATGGGTAAACTTGGACATGTAAACAAAAAAAATCCTCCTTAGCATGTGCTGAAATGCACACGTGACCCTCATATTTCTGTTAATTCACTAAATGTTTTATCAATGCAGATTCCTACAGAGAAAACAGCTTTGGACCTGGTGAACAGGACCATAGAGAGGTAAGTATATGCGTCTGTGTGTGAATACTGAGTGCTTATTTGTGGCTCAGCCTCTCTAATCTTTTTCTGTCTTCCAACAGTCCGGTCCTGAACGCAGGACTCCCCCTGAAGCAGATCCAAGGATGGGTCCACCAATGGGTCCCATGGATGGTCCCTTTCCTCGCAGAGCCCCTTATGGACCCCCACCTCCTGATTTCTACTCTCCCAGGGGACCTGGGGGACTTCCCATCAGGCCTAGTAGGAACTTTCATCCGTCTTTGCACCTTTAACCATCTCCAGATGTCATTATTGTAAACTTGACCTTTCCATTTTTTCCCCCTTCAGTGTGGGTTCCTCAACCTCCAGGAGTGATGGCCCCTCCTCGATACCATCCTAGTGGAGCTCCCCTTCCTGTTGGTCCTCATCCTCACATGCCCTCCTATGCTCCCAATATGCGACCCCCTTCTCCCGACGGCCACCCACCTTCTTCCATGGGCCCTCCCCCACCTCATCAATCCCTCCCTCCCGCACCACAAAGCCAGTCTCCAGAGAACGCAACCTCACCTGAAGACGCCATTTGAGCCTGACTGAGTTTCTACATCAGCTGTGAGACGAAGAACTTCTGGTTAATGTTTAACGTGGACAGTGTAGGGCAGATTGCTGGTTACCCTTTTTCCATAAACATCTATTTATTCACCAGAAGGATGTGTTTATTGAATAGTGTTTGCAGGGGAGAACATCCTCCTTCATTGGCCTGTTTTCTTGCTGCTTGTTGTCTAATGACATTATTTCTTACGTCTTTTGTTATTCCCTCACCTGTTTCTCTCACCATTTACATTCTCTATGAGGAAGCTGATGTTAAAGTAAACTCGGCCTGGACTGCGTGTGTCACATGACCCAAAAACAGCTGCCTGTCGTCTAGTCAGCGTCAGAGGTTTTTGATGGGAATACTTCACTGAGATGAAGGAGAGATTTGAATGATCGTAGCATGTCTGTCATGGCAAAAACACAACTAGCCCTGAAATAGTTTTTGTCTGTCATCATCAGTATAATTTAAAAAAATGTAGCTGGTTAGCATCTTGTCGTTTGATTTTATGACACTTCAGTCTGAACACGTCAAGCCTGGTTTTGCCTGCGACTGAGCTGAGTTGATCTTGAACTCAAATGAGACTGCTTTTGGTGAAATGTATCAGAGTTGCATAATTGAATTTCACTGACTTCCCTGTGGGAAGTGGGATATTTTTCTTCTTATTTCACAGTGAGAGAAGCAGTTGAACAGTGCTTTTGATCATGTTACAGTGACTTTAATATGGCCTAGACTTTGAAAAAGGTGGCTTATAATAGCTGCTCATGTTTCCCTGAATAAACAGTCACAGGAGTAAGTTTAATAGACTGACTGGAACAGAGGATACCTTCATGTGAATTTTGTAAAAAGTGATTATTGCTAGATTAATAAAGACTTGAATTGTCAGTGTCATCATATTTACTAATGTAAGTTGTTATGCATACAGCTGTAAAGTCATCAGGAGAAACAAAACATTATTAAAAAATAGTTACATTTTAAATTTTTAAATTGTTTTGAATTTGACACTTCTGAAATTGCAAAATATGCTTTGATTTATTTTAACCATGACTGTATACAACAGTTTCTCAACTTCTGGTGATTTATCACATGATACATTTCCAGAATATTTTAAAGATGCTCAGAAAAATCTGAAAATAAAGGTTTACTTCTCCAGCTTCAGTCATAATTATGCAAATTTCTCCCTGTAAATATACAGCTTAATAGAAAGTTTGTCAACATTAAACATGTAAAACTTGAGAAAAAGATCTGCTAGCTCATTACCCAGACTGTCCTATAATTAAAGTTTTAATAGGGGATTAGAACTTTTGTCATTTAATTGTGTATCTCTTAGTATGAATGAAGTCTTTATCAACTGTAAAACTTAAAATGCATTTAAATGCCTGCTAGTCCTCCGCCGTGGAACTTTGAATCAACATGTTTTGATGCTGTAACTTAATCTGATGGAACTTCTTTTGCTTTTAGGAGCTAGTGTAGCCTATTTAATATATTGCTATACAGTATTTGTGTGTACAAATTATTATATTACAGGGACATATTTATTTGGATTTACATTAGTCAGTCAGTTACATCAAGTAGATTTGAGACATGGAAAAAAAAAAAAAAAATTGCAGGGCCATCCTGCCACAACTTAAAAACAGTAGAAGGATATACAGTTACTAAATAGTAACTGTATATCCTCTAACCTGTTGTAATCATTAGGTAATGTAGGAGAATACTGCACGTTCTTCTGAAAGAGGAAATACATCTGCTCTATTATTTCATTAAGAGTACACAGTGTATACTTTGAGAGCTCGACAGGTTTTTCCCCATTTAGTTCCTGCATCCATTGCTGCTTCCTTTAAAGATGTGGAAGCACTCTGTGAGCTCCACTGCAGAAAGTTGCTAAATATTTCATTGGTATTAATGAAGCAATCAGTTGCAAAGATGCGAGGCTGAAATCGAGAGGAAGTAGCTCTGCCGACAGCGCTTTCACAAAGACGCCTAAAGGACATGTTTATAAAACAACTTTTAATTGTAAAATCATCAACATGATAAACAAGAAAAGGGCAAGTGAAAACCTATTGTCCAAACTTTTGGATATTACATCCCCAGAACCTATACATAAAAAACGATGCTTTCAAATGGCAGTTTTGTTTCATCATCAACCGTGAGATGACTGATTAAAGGATTTTGTTGGCTTAACTCCCCCCACCACCACGTACAATTAACATTTCTGCAGGCTTTATAACAACGAAACAATGCCAACAAATTTGAACAACCATGCCAACCACTGAGTTACCTAACGGTGTTCATAAAGATGCCAGCATTTACACGTTCATGAGGAAAAATGTGAACTGTACTTTGAAGAGCATGAGAGAGAGAGAAAAGAGGTAGATGTGAGAGAAGAGGATGCAACACCTGCAGAATGATAACTTTTCATGTGCTGTTTATACATAACATTTAGCCCTCACTTAAAATAGTCCACCTTCTGCTCTTTATATCCACTGGATTATGCTAAAATAACCAAACAGAATTTAATGAAACTTTCTGGTCAGTCTCAGCACAGATCTGGCTCACTTCCTTCAAAGTAAGATCTGGTATTGGTGGATAATTCTTTCAGCACATTACAGAGACCGCTGTTTTAGCATTCCATCACTACAAGCCAGAGGAATGTGCCTTGACTGTCCATAAACACTGTACTGTATGAACAAGGCAGACTGAAAAGAAAAATGCCTGTTTTTACTCTTACACTAATGACAAAAAGTCTTTGTAAGTCAGCTCACTGACAGGAATTCTGTGCATTACTCTTTTCCAAATAACCCCTTTTATTGGTTACGTAAAATATCTCATGGATGGTCTTCAAAAAGTAAACTGTATTAAAGGCAAAAAAACAGACAAACAAAAAAACCCATATATTTTATGGCATCATTGATGAACTTGTATTCTCCCCCCACTTAGTCACTGGAAGCCTGAAATTTGAAAACCTACAGCAAAACACATGGTGAATCTGAAGTCAAACCAAGTCCTCGACCTTGTTGAGCACAGAACGACTGATTTCTTTACCAACCAATAATCGACACAGAGTTTGCAAGCTGTAAAAAGTCAGACTTGATGTGAATTTGATGCTCGGCTGAAATGTTTGCTTAAACAAATGACTCATTTTCATACTCCCGCCCATTTTACCAGCATAAGCTCACCAATTAACTCACTCAAGGCAACCACAATGTGGAGCGAGGACACCAACCTCACCGCATACGACCTTTGAGAAGCATTTAAATTTTTAATGAAGGCCATCTGTGCATCCGAAGTGAATGGATGTATTCAAAATCTAAACACTGACTGAAAAGCATTTTGAAGGAACAGGTTCAGTGATGCTTAAGCTGTAGCATCAATGGCTTTTACGCGCTGAGCCGTTTTCATAACATTTAACATGAGATGTTTGTTTTAATTGTTGTGGTTTTCTTAACAAACTACAAAAACCTGTGTCGGCTGAAACCGTCTACAGAGCCTGAGTGTGAAATAAAGCAGCAATACCCAAACATACGAGCGGTGATCAATAATGCTTCCGTTCCTGTTTATCTATTAAAGTCATGATGGTTGGCAGGAGAGGCAGCTTGACCAATCATCTCACAGACAGGTGGAATCACTGTCAGCTGAGAAGTGCAGAGGATTCTGTGAAGACTGAGAAATGTCCTGCTGTGTGCGTTTTTATGACTGCAGACCTGAATGCCACCATGTGTCATGTAGAGGTTTCCGTGTTGGAGGTCCTTGAGGTGTTTTTTCCTATGCGGCTGCTTGTGTGGGTGTCTCAGCAGTTTAGAATGGGCCTGCTTCTGTCAGGTCTGAATGGGAACGCAGAGCTCTCAGAGTCAGATCTCCCTCTGTGAGGCCCGAGCGTAGCCACGGCCTGGGTGAACACACACATGATTGTTAAATGTTGCCTAAACACACAATAAACCGCCACAAAGAGACAAAGATAAGAGGATTTTCGCATTTCTGAATTTTGTGCCTCCTCATCCTTCTGCCTATGACTTGGAAATCAATCTCAGTACATATTAGATGTCTTAATTCCTAAAATGCTTCTGGAGGAGAGGGACGTACTTTGTAGACAGTTGTTGCTTCAATTTCTCAAGGTGAAAACTGATGAGGATTCCAGATGTGCCACATGTCACATTATGAAAAGATGGCTCACAAGCAAGAGCCTCAGGAGAGGAGGCAAGAAAAAGGAATCAGGAATACACAACCTGAGAAATAAGAAAGAGGGTGGAGTCCTGCACATTAACACATACCTTCCTGATCGCGGTCCAGTCCTCTAGGATGTCCAGATCTGGTAGCATGTAGACAATATATGGACGTAAGCAGAGTTAAGGACAGTGACTGACTGCCAGAGCAGGGATGAAATGTAATCAGACACATGGCTACAGCACAAGTAGTTAAGTTATTTAGGAGTAGAATCATTATGAGCAAGAGTAAAGACATTAGAAGGATATCAGACACCACCGACGGGCGTCTCCTCTTCTTATCTGGACTTAAAGCATCTCGCCTCTTCTTCCTTCCTGACAGCTCATCATTCCACAGCTCTGATAGAAAAATAAAAACAAAAACTCAAATGTTTTGTCTTTGCATTCATTGTAACGTGACTTCCCGTATATGGTGGGAGGGTACAAACGTAATCAAACAACGTGAATGACTGTGTTACCTGATGTGATATCAATGCTGTGCCTGTCCTCCTCTAGTCTTCGGATTTTCTCCTCCAGCTCATTCTGCACTGTATCAAACAGCAGCAGCTTCTCACTCTGCACACACAGAGTCAAAATAACACATAAAACACATAATCATACACACAGACTGGATCAATTCAGTTTTATTTATAAAGCGCCAAATCACAGCAGTAATCACCTCAAAGCCCTTTATAATATAAAGACCATATAATAATACAGAGAAAACAATTGCATTACCACATATCTAAATAAATAAAAAATAGTTTGGTATATTAAACGGTGTGTCCAACCTCCCAGTGTTGACATGCTGCCTGGATCTCACAGTCGTATTTGTTCTTCACAGACTCCAAACACAACTCTCTGTAGATACCTGCCAAAGACGGAGAGAGACACACAATATCCAAATGAATAAAGAGATCAGTGTGTCAAAGAACTTGTGCTATTACTAATAACACCTTTATCTGAAAGGGCGTGTCAAAAAAAAAAGAAACTTGTTTTTGCACGTTCCGAGTAATGACACCATCTCTGTGCTATCTAACTTAACCTGGGCCAGCACTTTTCCCCAAGAGTCTGTTTAAGAGGTCCTAAAACACCACTTCAGTGCTGAGGCCAGATGCAAACAGCAAAATTCTAATTCACCACATCGTGTGGTTTCTCACAGTGGGGATTTTGCACTTGAGGATTGCTCCACATTTCCATACTGTGACTTAGATAGCATGCAAAAACTGGCTAATGTAAATCTTTACATAGTTAATAGTTGATATATAAAAAAAAATTCTGAATGGATGCAATGTATATTTAAATTAGGCTACATCTTGCCAGCAGTCTGATATGCACCAATGCACAGGTTATTGATTAAACACACCAACAGCAGTCTTCCTTATTAGAATGCTGCTTGTTACTAATTTGTTGCAGGATGGACTTGCATTATCCACTAGATGTATTTTGCCTATGTGTACTTTAGACAGTGTTTCCCACAGCCACTTACAGCCATACAGTCACTGACCATGTTTGATTAAATAAATACTGTTTACTCCTGGATTTTAAATTGAAAACAACACATTGACTTACACACTTTTTCTGTAATTACAAAAAAAGGCACACAAAATGTGTTTCTGCAAACATTTCACTTTTAATTCATGTCACTAGGTTACATGTCAACTTTCTGCAAATGCAAAGCAGGCAACTCAACACCCTGCTGCACAAACTGCAACTCTACCAGAAGGCATTGCACAGCTGGCTACATAAACAACAAATGCAAGTGTGATGTGAAGGTGTCTATGCATTTAAGTTACCTGCCACCTTGGTGCGGACCTGCATGTTCTCCAGCAGTACTGCCAGAGGCTCCAGATATTCTGCCGCCCGGCCAGCCTCCACCTCTGCCAGCTTGCTGTTAACCTGACTGAGACGCTCACGATACAACCTGTACACAGACGCAGGAGTAAATATGGATGCAACTCACTGTTATATGACTTTCCTAAAACAACTCCCATTTGAAGCAAAGAGTCAGTCTTACTGGTCTTTGAGATCAGTGAATTGCTTCTCCAAGTTGCACATTTCATCCAGACACTCCATTCTTCTCCGCTCACAGTCCACCTCATCCATTTCTAGAACAGCATAAAACAAACACACCTTTGGTATGAAACTAGTCTTTGATGGAAGAAGGGAGCAACTCGGTGGCTATGTAAGAAAACTCTGCTGAGTAGGAATATAATGATATTCAGTTGAAGCTTTGACAACTTTGTAAAATCTGATTGATTCACTCAAGTATTCATTTTTAATGACAGCTGTACAGGAATGTTCTGCTCATTTCCTGCGACCAGTGTTTCTCACCTGAGCTGTCTCCATCCTCAGAGACAGAGGAAGTGTCAGAGTCCTCCTCCTCTGAGCTTGATGCCTCCTGCTCATGTTCCTCCGCCTCCATCTCCTCAGCTGTACTCTCCTTTTTCTCCCGGTCACGGTGCAATGGCATGGCGGCAACTCTGCGTCAGGTTACTGGTGTGGGACAGAAACATAGCCAGGTTGTTTTGCCAGTTGCACATACAATATTCAATTATTTGTTAGGCAGCAGAACTCCTATATTTTACTGATGGTAGTCACTCTCTTCTTCACCTCTTTTGTACACTGTTCATTGCTCTGGATGGTTGACCCCGGTATTTAAACTCATGTCCCCTCCCTACCTCTCCTCCTTGCTGTTTCACTGTTACACCTCCCTCACCATGATCACACACTTCTCTGCCACCTCTGACTTCCTCATGCCATGCAGTACCGCAGTTCCTTTCTTCACATCCTACCATATGTTTTCTCTAGATTATTTAAAACACTAAGGGAAATTACAAATCAGCATGCCACAACTAGTAGGTTGATTAAAACGTTAATAGTTCAGTTGCTGCTCTGATTGATGCGCTCATCCCGAATTAATTAAATATCACTAACAAATGTATTGCTAAAGAACATCAACTCTGTTTTTTCCTGCTAATAAAATTATATAACTTCTTAACTTAGAATTATTTCTGGGTTTTTAGTTTGATTACGTCCTTCATATATCCAGCGATCGTTGATCAACCAGGTGATTTTTTTGACTCACATTTACCTGTGTAATATTCAGCTTAACTAAAGAAGCTAATAATGTGGGATATTTGTTTATACTGTTCGTAGTGAACGACTTCTCATACACATTTTTCTTCAGTTAACTGTTTTTAATGGTGGAACTTGAAAAGTATCCTCAAGGTGTTTGAATATTATAGACAATAATCGTACACACTATTTTTTGCTTATGCTAGTTTATTCGCTAAGCTCTCCCTAGCTTAGCTTTGAAATGATTAAATTATTCAAAAAAAACAATACACGACAGCAGTATTAGCATTTCGTTAGCACGTTAGCAAGAGAATATAGTCAAGTAGCAAGAAAAACTATCACGACTTAATTACAAATATATACAAACAAGCAAGCTTTAACTGACTCACATCTTACAAGATAGGTGGTACTTTGCAGGATGTGTTGGGAAAAAAGTAAAAACTTATCGTTATACCTCAGTTACGATTACACTCGTGTGCTCCAGCTAAGCTAAAAACAAATCTCTGCAGGACGCCTTTATTTGTTTTGGGAATTGTAGTTTTTTTTTATCTAGAATAGTCTAATGAATAGAGGACCACTGTGGAAGCTTAAACTACATTACCCATGTTTCACCGCTCTAGCTTGAGGCGGAGAGTTCGAACAGAATCCTGCACGTTTAAAACATTAAAAGATTAAAATCCACGTATGTCCAAAGTATGTAAGATCTGTGTGATATTTATGACAAACGGGATAGAAATTTTGCTTATTACTGTGGCATTTTTGCGTTGAATTTATCTGCTATCTATTATTTTGTTTCCCCCCCTCCCCTCCTCCGCCATGATGTTTTCTAACTAAGCAGCTAGTGACTGTTGTGGAGAAGGGAGGTGCAATGGATGGATGCGTTGCCCCGCTACGCTGTACATATTTGTCTTAGTTTAAAGAGAATGAGTTTCTCTGATAATTTTTTACCCGTAGAAATACTCCACGCTGTTGCGGAGGGCTGCTAATGCTCCGGGAGACACGTTTTTCGTTATAGTTTGAAGATTAGCTGGCTACACAGGCTAGCTCCTCCTTGCTGTCTACCATCGCATTCTTGCGTCTCCTGCCTCAGGAATGTTTTCCAAAAAACCTCATGGGGACGTTAAAAAATCCACACAGAAAGTGCTGGACCCAAAGAAGGACGTGCTGACGAGGCTCAAGCATCTCAGAATAGTCATAGGTAAGTTAGAAAGCATTATTAAAGGGCGAACAGCTTAGCTTCTAGATTTCAGTTTACTGCCTTGGTGCATGCCACACCAAACTCAAGTCAGAAAATCTCCAAGTTCAAAGTTGACTCGATTGTAGAGAGACACGCCGGATTTCTTTTCACAAACCAGAACACAGAAGAATATTTTGAAATTGTCTCATTAATTCGGCATCATGTCCGTTTTCTTTCATCAAACATTTTGTAAGGTTATATTATTTTTTCTGAATTGTTTATCTCTGAAGTCATAGTTTCTCCCCCTTTTACCGTCAGAATGATGGATATGTAACTCTCAATATACGAAGTGAATTTTAAAGGAGCCTGGCTGCTTCTGCTGTCGAGTTAAAGGGGAAGCTTTAAGGCTGTTATTTATATTGATTGTTTAGCAATACCATTACATCGTCAGATTTATGAATGGAGTTTGGCATGGGGTGTTTGGATAAAATAAAATCAGGTGTGATGCGCGTTGAACATCTAAACAACCTCAGTGATGCTTCAGGCCGTTTGCCAGGTTTCTCTGGTTGCTGCAGGGGCGTGCCTGTGTGAGTTTTGGGGAAAGGCCTGATGTGTGAGAAATGCTGAATGTTTTCTTAACATGTGTTAAGATGTGTTGCAACACAACACCACATTCAGGGTTATGAATGCGTGGGAGAATAAAGGAAGATAGCAGGGTATTAAAGTGATGGATGAGTGTCTTTCACTGACACACTTACTCCCACACCGACCAGAGAGGGAAATAGCCTCTACTATTTCCTCTCTGTGTCCAGTAGCTCGGCTTCCTGTTTCTATTGTAAAAGTTACTGGTGTCTGTGTTTGTGTATGTGTGTGCAAGACAGAAAAGGAAAGGGGTGTGCCCCCTCCCTGTTCTCTATTGGGAACACAGGACCATGATAAGAGGCTGAGACATAAACACACTTGAAGTGAAATGGTCTGAAAGGAAGCAGATGACTGAATAATGGCTAAAGACATGTTTTGCAGTCAAGTTGCCATATGAAATGAAGAAAGTGGTTTTCATTTGCACAACACTGAAGAATTGTTAACTGCAGCAGTTAAGTATTTGTTCATGTTGTTGTTGTTGTTGTTGTTGTTCCAGCCGTTGTGGGAAGCAGACAGGAGCACTAAGACTCTTGAGCAATTTTTAGGTTTTCAAAACTGGTCACACCTATTATGGCATAATGAGTAAAAGGAGCTGTTGCACTGCTATGCAATCAGGTTAATAAGCAACTGTTCCCAAATCCCTTTTGGCTTTCTTCATTCCAGACCCCCTCTCTCTTTACATAAACGAGCTTTATTTAAAAAAGAAACCTGGTGATAAACTCCTCAGTTAAAACCAGCTGTTCTACTATTCTAATAACTTAACTACAGATGAACAGATGTTTACTGTGAGTTCAGTAGTGGTCCAGTCAGACTTTCTCATACAAGGCAAGAAACAGTGTTCAGATTATTCCAGTTAAGTCCTCAGAGTGAGTCATGAGTGATTTTTTTTTATTATTTTTTTTTATGAATTTGTTATTTTTTACTCGTGTCTTGATGAAGAAAGTTTTGTTTGTTTCATTTTATTCAAATCGATAAAAACTTTTCTCTGTTTAAAAGTCCAAAAAAGACGTCCAGATGATGTTGAAAGTTTGATTTTTCACAAAATGTAGTTAAATGGACAAAATCAGATTTAACTTGCAGCGTACTGTGCAAACATCCCGAGCCACTGCCCCTTTCTTTATATTTTGCTTTTTTGTATTTTTTTTTCTAAATTTGGTCCTGAGGTAAAGTTTTGCAGGCTTTCTAAAGGTCTTTCAAAGTTGTTGTTTTTTTGTTTTGTTTTGTTTTGTTTCTTTAAAATTGGCTGCCTTTTCACCCATTTTCAGTCCAGTCTTTGTTCCTGGTCATTTTCATATTATGGTTAATGTCACTTAAAACTGACCTGCAAACCTTCAAGCATTACAAAGGGAACTTAACTCAAGGGATGAACTTTGTGTCTACACAAAACAGAAAACTTAGCAAAGAACCAATTTTAAATTATATCTGTAATAAAAACACATAATTTCTTCACATTTCTCAAGACGAAGTTATAAAAATGCCAAAGATAACACAATTTTACAGACTTGTAATAGGTGTTTGGATCAGTTCATCTGCTGTGTCCAAAAGTGTGATTAGAATTCAGCTCAGTGGAAGGGTGGGTGTTAAGAAGCCAACTGAAAATCAGCTGCAACAGGTCTGATGGTGTGATGAATCCAAATTTTTTTATTTTTGCTTCAAGTCATTGTCATTAAGTATGCAGGAGGTCAGGAAAGATGTACAACAATCAGCTTCTGTAGCCATCTGGAAAACACGATGAAGGCTGTGTCATGTTGATAAATAATAAACACAGAAAGGTGTCATCAGATCCACCATTGGATTGGCAACAGCAGGAAATCATATCTGGATAGAAAAACACACAAATAAACATTATCAGTCATGGATTGGCCTCCCAAAAACCTGGACCTCAACATTATTGAACCACTGTGGGATCATCTAAAGGTAGCCAACATCCGAAGAAGAGCTTTGAATGTCTGTCAAGAAGTCTGCAGAACTATTCCTAAAGGCTACTTAAAGAAGTTACAAGAAAGCTGCCTCAGAGCGTTCAGACTGTTTAAGAATAAAGGTGGTCGTGCCAATGTTGACTTTCAAGCTCATTAAGATTCTGCAAACATTCAAACAATCCGTTGACTATCCAACTAGGAGTAATGCATGAACGATAACTTAACAAGCAGCGAGGAGAATTAAAGTTTAGACAGACTGGGAAAAATATTAACTTGAAGCTGTACTGCATTGGTGCTCCATCACACATTAACTGATGTCCTCAACTAGTGCAGCCACTTTACAGTCTGTAGTAAGAATCTGTAAGGTAATGAGTGTGTATGGCATTACTTAACAGAATCATTTTTGTTATACAAATGTTTTTAAGGAAATAGAATGGTTCCTAAAAGCTGATTTTGTTTATTTGTTTTAATATGCCATTTAATTGCCGTACATTGCAAGGAGAATTCTTAATTAAAAAAACAATTCCTAGAGCCACACATGACTGCATAAATGATTGAAGAGAATATTGTACAAATATGTCGTTACATTCATGAATATAAGGGTTTGTCTTTCCAGATACAGATTTTGGAGACACTAATTCCTTTGGAGTTTCATGAGGAAGGGTGTCAGGGGTAAAAATCTGCCAAATCAAACAAGCCGCCCCACCCACTGTGGCGACCGCCTTGAATAAGGAAGCAGCCAAAAGTGGGTTTGTCCTGTATATGGAAATTTCTGGGACAACCAAAAAGGTGTTGGCCTTCCACTGAAGCAAAATCACAAGGACTGTGATTTAAAACTGTTTTACTCAAGCATAAAATTCATTTTTGTTTGTAAAACAGCCAAAAATATCAGCAAAATGCTTAAACTTCTGTTCTGTCCACTAACAAATGAAGGCCTGTTATGAGTTAACACAAGTAATTTTTTCAGTTCTGTTTTTGCTTGTTTAGCGAACTCGAGCTT